GTACTACATAAACAATTTCTAGTCATTGTCTTATTTAATCTTTGCAACAACTTCATGAAGTGTTCCTGCTGGAAGATGTCATGAGATAATGCTGCAAAGTGATCAGCACAGTGCCAGCACGTAATAGTAGGAACTATTATTAATATCAATCCTATTTTGGGCAGTAGCCCCCAACAAACTCCATAATTCACAGCTTTACTTTCTTCTGCCTGGAAAATGGGACACCTCCTCCTAGCCAGTAGCAACAGCCCTGATGCTTGGAGATTCCAAGATAACAGGGCAAAGCGTCACCGGCTTCCTCATCAGAATCCAGGTGGTCAAGTTGAGAGCTGTCAGGCTCCAGCAAACACTTCTAGTTGCATGAAATTAATTAGGTGCCATTTTCTAATTATACCAGAAACTCACTTTGTGCCCCTTTGAAAAATTCGTCCCTCTATGGGATTTCTTTTCGTTCATGCCATCTTCTCTTGGTTTCTTGTCTAATGGTCTATTTTGTTCTCCGTAGTGTTCAGTTGAGGTTTTAAAGAAATTGAAATCTCTAGAGCCAGAATGCCATACCTCGTCATTCATTCGCTCACTGGTTCATTCAACAAATGTTCATCAATGGTAACTTTCTAACAGACTATCTTGAGCACTGGGGACGTAGAAGTGACCACTATACCACCTCTGCCCTTAGAAGCTCCTGGTTCTTGCTGACCTCCTGGGAAGGCCCAGTGAAATAACACCAAAACCACCCAGAGAATGTATTTATTTTCACTAGGTTAGTGGCTCTGACCCTTTTAGGAGGCAAAGGGAACGGAAAGGAAAAGGAGCCAGCCAGGGTTACTTCCTGCATTTTATAAGCGGGAAAGTTGAGTTTTGGGGAGTAGGGGGGGAGGTACTAAGTTACTTCATACAGCAGGCCATATGTCCTTTTCTTTTCACATATGTTCTGTGAGGTGGGTGTTTTTCTCACCATTTCACCCACGCAGAAACAGACACTTAGGTTAAACAGCCTGTGGACCGGTCAGCCAATCCATAGATGGCAGAGCCGGGCTTTAAACACAAGTGACCTGCAGCAAAGCTCTCAGTCTGCTGACTCAGCAACTACACAGCAGGTCAGCGGTGGCCCTGGCAACCTCCTGCCCCCAACCCCCTGCCCCGGTCTCCTAGGCCAGTGGTTTTTAAACTTGACCGTGCATCAGAATCACCTGGAGGGCTTGTTAAAACACATAATCTCAGGCCCCACCCCCAGAGTTTCTGATTCAGTGGGTCTAAGGTGGGGCCAAAAACTTGCGTCCAAGTTCCCAGAAGATGTTCAAGGTGGTGATGATCCAGGGGCTGCACTTTGAGAACACTGCTCTAGGTGAACCAATAATTCTCCTTTAAAATAATGACTCGCCCTGTTTCTAAAGTACATAGGTTTGTAAGACACAAGCGCACAAAAACGTGGACCCTCCAAAGGCAGCAGAGAAGCACGCTCCTTCATCGTCTTCCTCTCTGAGAAAACTAGGAACAGTTTGGCACAGGTCCTTGTGTCTTTCCAGGGTCTGGGCACAGGGGTCACAGCGTGGCAAACTGTGGTGGCCCACTGTTCCGGTCCCTGGTTAAGCCACAGTTAAGATCCCAGCTCTGTGAAATTCCGGGTGAGCCCGAGCCAAGCCTCAACCTTCCCTTCTATGAAACTGCGCTTTTACTTCCATCCCTCCCTGGGTCGTTGGGAGGGATCAAGGTGACAATGAATTTTTCAACATTTCACACAAGATCTGATGTGGAGTCAGGGCTGAATATTTAGCCCAACAAGAAGCTCCGAGGATCCATATTATGTTAAGCCCTGCTGCCTTTCCTCTCCGTCCCTCTGTGCAGGACCTCTGATGACCTGCTCTGTCCTGCCGCTCACTGCCAAGACTGTCTGAGCTCCAAGCACAGCACCCTCGGCCGAGGTTAGAGTAGTCTCTAGTGCTGTGTGCCCAGTTCTCCCGTTTTACAGCCCAAGCTTAATGAGGGCTTTTAACTTTCCATTCACCAGCAGCGTAACTCCGACTTTTAATAACACACCTTGTGCACGACAAAAATTTGCTCCTGGCAATCATGGTTTCGACCACAAAACCGCAGCGGGGAGGCGTTCCTGGTTAACTCTTTCAGTGCTCCAGGCAGTCTGGAGCCTGCGTTGCTGGAGATCAGATAGACACTGCGGCTGGCTGGGCCTTAGTCATTGGCTGCCTGTCCCCCCACCCCCAACTCCTGCCCTCAGCGGCCTCTCTCCAGGGATTTGGGGGTGGGGGGGGGATTCCCAACCAAAAAGGATAATGGTCCAGTCTGCACACTGAGGAACGCGATGGGGAGGATCCTCACACACTGCCTCCAGCAGATGGACCTACTGTGTGCTAAGTCCCTTGATGTGGCAGAACCCTGCTTTCCTCAGTTGTAAACTGTGGCTGACTCGAGGGTCGGGGCTGGGTTCTACATGTGTGCCATGCACACAGAGGGCCTTCGGAAGCTTTGGAACAATCGTACGGGCAGGGAAGTCCCTTTGCACCTTCTAGTCACTGGCGGACTCCCCAGCCCATGACTGCACATCACCCATTCCGGAAGTCCCACAGTTGGCAGTGCGCAGGCGCAGAGGGCAAAGGGCAAGCACCGCGTGACTTTACTCGGGACCCGCTGCCCCAGGAGCCCTTGCGGGCAGATGCAGCCACCGGGCATGGTGAGACCATGAGCTGGAGGCACTCAGGGCGGCTGGCCGAGGCCGGCGCTGGGCCCGACCACATGAAAGGCCTGGGCGCTTGCCACCCACCAGCCGCCTCAAGCTGGTTCTGACTACCCTGCCCGGCCTGCATGCTGCTCACAACAGGCCTTCGAGGTGCCACCCTCCACCTAAAGCCTCATAATCAGGATGGCGTTTGTGGAGCTCTACCCTGGGCCCGGTGGTCTCCATATTGAAGCTCACAGTTCCCCCTGCCAGGTAGGTGTTTGCAGTTTACAGGAAGGACACACAAATTCACCCAGATCCAGCAGTGGGCAAGTGACAGAATTGGAAGTCCTACTTTCCGCACTGTGCCAGGGCTGACAAAGAGCCGGTCATTCTATCAGGGCTCGAGATGTATGCTTGGACCAGTACTCTGGCACTTCTTAAGGGAATGCCCTGCAAGACGGAGGCCACAGCAGCAGCTCAGAACTTGCAAGCCAAGTACTTGGCACCTTATCCCTTACTCCCTTAAGCAGGGGCAGCTGAGTTCCCAGGGTCTGCCATTGTAATCTGAAATGGTGGCTTCAGGGTCTTTTTAAAATTACTCAGCAGGTACAGGCTTCTTTTGAGAAAGGAGAAGACTCATCTATCAGAGAATCTGCCTTCAAGTCCAAATCACTGAGGAAGAGAAAAGTAGAAAACCTTTCTACTCGAGTAACCAGCTTCAGGACCTGGATCCTCTAAGCAGCAACACGAACCAGTCTCCACGGCATGGTGGTACCTCTCAAAAATTTTGTGTGTGCAGTGTATGGAAAAATAGAAACTAGAAGGGTTCAGCAATGCTCAATTGCTTATTTCTGTATGAAGTAACAATAGTGTTAGTAGTTTGCTCCTTACTGGACTTGAAAGCAATCGCTGTTCTAAAGTTATTGGATTTCCTAACAGCGCCCACAGGCAGATACCACTGTGGACCACCATTATAGGTGAAGAAATGGAGCATGAGGGGAAGTGACTTGCCCAGTGTCACACAGAGAATAAGTGTCACAGCCGGGACTTGGGTCCAGGTGTCAGCACAGGGTACCTGCTCTTACGCTAGTCCACTTGTCAGCCAGGAGATTTACTCCAAAGAAATCTGATGCCAGTTAACCACCGGGATTTTACCGTGAACACAGTTGGCCAACCTAGAGGAACCCAAGCGCTACCTGGTAATCCTAGAATCCTGACCGCAGCCAGGACCCACCAACTGCTCTGCCTGAAGGTCTTTAAGTTCTTAAAATACTGCTGAGGAGTAGCTTGCAAGAAAGGTTATTCTACTCACCTCTGCCCACTCATGTCTAAGTGTGGCAGGAAGAGGAGAATCACAGGTTAAGGAACCCTGGCTTCACCTGCCAGCTCCCTGAACCCAAGCTACAACAGCATATATCCTGTCCTCTTCTCTGCAGCCCACCTTCTCTGAGGTCTGGACCTCACCCAGGGCCTCCATAGTGCAGGTCAGCATTAGCCGGTCAGGATTCTGAATCCCAGGTGCGGGCAGGAATGCACCTGCATCCTTCCAGGCATCAGAGATGACCTCATCGCAAACCACTCCTCAGCTTCCCCAGCCTTAGAACTGCCTCTGAACAAAATGAACCACACTTTATTGAAAGCATCTGCAAACCTTAGCTTTGTGCTAAGTGTTTTACAGCCTTTCGCACGCTTGACACTCAAGCATCCTACAACACATGCGTGTACCCATTTTCCAGATGAGGAAAATGAAACACAGATGAGTTAAATGACTGGTTCAAGATCCCACAGCCTTTAAGGGACAGAATCTGGATTTGAACCTAAGTCAAGCCCCCTACAGAGAATGCGCATGTTAAACCACCATGGTGCAGCCTTCCTGCTTGGGATTGTTCCAATTCAACAAACAAGTGCCTTTAAAGAAACCCAATTCTCTGCTTAAGACAGCTCTTAAAAGCACCTCAAAGAAGTTCCTTTTGGCAGGAAGATAGAAAGCCTCCAAGGGGCTGGGGTTGTCTCTGATTTCCAAGGCCCCTTCACAGTATCAAAAAGTGCTGCCAGAAACCTGCACAGTTTCAGTCCTGTGTTTCTCTGCCTGGCTCGAAACTGCTCAGCAGAGGGAGAGAAAAACTATTTTCCCAGGGAAACGCTCTGCGCTAGCTTGAGAGCAGGGCTTGCCTCAACACGCCAAAGCAGAATCGTCAGCCCATTCATTTACCCTTACAAATTGCCGTGTGAATTCTGGCGCCGGCCTCCCTGCTGTTCCTCCTCTGGAAACCCCATCCACCCTCCGTGCTCAGGGAGCGCCAGGCATCCACTGATGTTTACTCACTCAAGTTCATTCGACATCTTCCTGCTCCCAGGCTCTGACGATCTGCACTGAGGCTCTGCTGACCACTCGTCTCTAGTTCTTGCCTGACACAGACATTCCCTGCCCAGGGAAGTGTTTGATTTATGTTGAGGTTTAGGTGTCAGGATTTTGCTGACAGGTAAGTTCCCAGCAGGGCTGGTGCTGATTGGCTGTGGGTACAGGTGCCGGCAACTGCAGGTATACCTCAACAGGTGCAGCTGTTAACTCTTGGCCCTCCAGTTGGGCGGAGCCAGGAGGGGCTGGCTGGGTGTAGCTGGCCAATTCCTTCCTTGGTGAGGGGGCGGGGGGCGGAGATGAGGGAGGAGGGAGGAGAAAAAAACACTGGAAAGAAGCAAGAGAACTAGAGGAAAAATACAGAGGCAGATACTCGGCTAGTCAGAATCCCGGATGCTGGAGACATCCCTTCTTCCAAATTCCTCTGTCCCCTCTTTCTCTACCTCTGGGAACTCTCAAAGGAGAGAACAGATCTTCCCCTTCCCCTGGGGGGAGGGTCTTTGTGTAAGTCCCCACTTTTTCCTTTGTAAGACTTTCCCTTTATTTATGAATAATATTTTAGTTATTCAGGTGATCACCTTTGATTCTCACAGTAACCCAATACAGTGATTTATGTCACTTTCCTCTTCCTCCTCGGCGCGTGCACATTACAGATGAGGGAAGAAGGGGAGGCTGGAGAAGTGAAGTGGCTTGTGTGCCGGCGCTGAAGTGATTGTCAGAGCTCAGATCCAAAGCCTCGGCCTGGAGTCTGGCTGTCAGCGGGCAGAGCTGAAGCCAAGGGCCTCAGCTGGATGGATTCTCGTTGAATCTGCGTATCTGTTGTATCTGTTGTGTGCGAGGCCCTACTTTGGGTTCTAGGGAAATAGAGGCTGAAAACCTATAGAGTTACTACTCTGGAGGAGTCTACCATCTGGGGAGGGCACCAAGGCTGGGGAGGCCATCTTTTATTGAGTATGATACAGATCTGAACGGGATGTGGGCAAACCACACACCTCAGGCTGGCCCAGAAGGGATGGAAAAATTGAAGCTGGACATCTTCGAAGCTTTAGCTGACGGGTCATTTCCCAAACTCTGAGTGCTTCTTTCTGCTTTGGGAGCTCAGGAGAAATCAGATGCTTGTTAGACAAAGTAATTATGGAATAACTGCTGTGAGCTGTCTTCTATACAGAACAAGGTTGGTAAACCCAGAATATCCATAAGCTGGAGAATGCTAGAGTTTTTAAAAGACAGTCTACCAGGAATAATTTGAAATTAAAACTAAGCCCCACATCTTGGGATCTTTTTTTCTGTTTTCTCTACCTCTACCCTCTTTCCCTGAACAACTTCTCGTTTTGCTGTCTCTTCCTGGGAAACTCATCTCAGCCCATTCCTTTGTCCATCAGGGAAGGGCTAGCAGAGTTTCAACTACCTTTGCCAACTTGATAGAGGTTTTCAGGGTAAAGTCTGGATTTAAAAGAGACCTTTGGAGTCCGGGGTCAGGCCTATGGATAAGGGATAGTGAGTTTGGAAACTTCCAGTTTGGTTTCTCACTAGAGACTGTGTAGTGGTCCCCGCAAGGGGCCCTAACAAATGTTAGTAAATTACAGTCACTGAGAAAGCCGTGACTTCCGGGCAGCCCGCTGCAATCACCTTTGCCTAAGTAGACATTGGGTGACTTTCTATCACAGCACTTTGCAGTCTCTGCAAAGCCGTGTGACTTCTTGATATTTCTGTAATTGTCCGTCCCCTCTCCTGTGGAATATGAACCCCAGAGAAGCAAAGGCCGTTGTATCTTTTCCACTCCTTTCAGTGTGAGGCTCCTAGTAGGTGCTGGATATACCCGCTAGATCAGACGTTGTGCAGAGCTTTTGCATGCATTATCTCATTTAATTCTTATGACAACCCTGTGAGTTGCTTTTTATCATCCCCGTTTTATAGATGAGGAAACCGAGGTACAGAGTGAGGCAATAAAACCACTCAAGCAGAGCAAGGCAGTGGTTGAAATAGAGCTGGGATTTAATTTTCGAGCAGAGCTTGTGTGCCCAGCCACTTCACAGAGGTTCCTGGTGCCAGCAGTGACTGCAAAGCTGGCCACAGCCCGAAGGATGGCACACTTCTCTGTGTGCGCCTGTCTTCCCACCTCACGGACGGCTGTGGTTTCTGTCAGCTGTGTTGCAACGCACATGTGAAGGGCTGGGGGGTGACTCATGCTGGCTGGGCTGGGGGTGGGGCTGGGATTCCAAGCGGCATGCCTGTGCTTGCTGGGTTTTTAAAAATGGGTTCTCTCCCTCTATTTCTGGGTCCTGCCTCTTTAAATCACCTGTGCCCGCCTGCCCGGCTCAGCAGAGGCCCAAGCCATGGGGAAGACAGTTTTTACATCTTTACACAGGAAGGCCCCAGAAGGCTCCCCAGGTGGCATGAAAGGATGAGTGGTCTGGGATAGGTAGGCAGGGATACTGAGCCAGTTTGTGGGGTCACCAGACTCCTCCCTCAGGAATCCTACATCCCAGTCAGGGAGCAAAGCTGTCTCAGGCCTTCCTTCCTGCAACTCAGACCCAGGGTTTGAAGAGACACTGCCCAAGCCTTGCTGCCACCTCGTTCATACCTCCGGGTGACACGAGCGTGGCCCAGGGCTAGGCGAGGCTGGCACCTCTTTTCACTTCTTGGAAGGACCAGCTGGTGGTTTCCCTGTGGAGGAGATTAAAAACAGGAACCAATCAATCACCTGTAACATAGTAATTACGTTCACAATAATAACAATAAATAATGATGGCTGCTACACGGTGTTTGTATTTTGTAAGACTGTGCTAAGGATTACTTGTATTAGGGGGTAATATTGCTCTCAGACTGACAGAGCTCAGCCCAACCACTTGCTAGCTCCGTAATGTAAGGTAAGGAACTTACTCAGCCTCAGTTTTCTTACCTGTAAAATGGATATAAAGTAGTATGCATCCCTCATAGGGTTAGTATTAGTGTTAGATGAGATAATGCAGGCAAATACGTTGTGTAGTGCCTGGCATCTAACACTTGGTTGTTACAAAGCACCCCCCTTTAAGCCTGATGAAAACTATGGCAACTTTATTTTCCAAAATGAAGAAACTAAGAGTTGAGCTCAGTGCCTTGTTGAAAATCAGTAGCTAATAAGTGAAAGGCCTGAGATTTGAACCCACATCTTTCTGATTTTATGGTCACAGAACCTGGCTGAGGGAATGTCCAGAGTTCAAGTTCTGTCTGACTTCTGGCCACTTTGTGACTGAGTAAATCTCATCTCAGAGCTGGAGTCCCGCCAAAATCAGCTAGTGAATCACTGTACAGAGAGCTTTGCAATTCAAAATCACCTAGGTTTTCTTCTCCAGATTACCTCTTTTTCCAGACATGATCTGTCCCCTTAGAGTGTGGCAGTCCTTTATCCCTCCCTCTCCTTTCCGAGAGTATGACTACTCGTGAGTCACCTGCTTGAGGAGGGCATGACACCGTCCTTGGCACATTAGGGGTGGGTAGTGAAGGTTAGGAGCACAGCACTAAGTACTGCAAGGTGTAAGAGCCAGGGTTTCCCATCCAAGTACTAACCAGGTCCGACCCTGCTTAGCTTCCAAGATCAGACAAGATCGGGCACGTTCAGGGTGGTAAGGCTGTAGACACAGCCAAGGGTTGCTCTTATGTCTGTGAAGGTTGGGCACCATACAGCTAAGGTGCCGTTCTTCAACCTAATGGCCTGATAGTAGCTCTTCCTTTTTTAACACTTTTAAGACTTCACGCCTAAGCTAATATGTCTGTAATCCCAGCACTGGGGAGGCTGAGGCATGATTATCACAAGTCCCAGGGCAGCCCAGCTACACAGTGAGTTCAAGGCCAGCCTGTGCTAGTAGTGAGATATGATAATCCCCAATCTCAATGAAATTCCTTTGGCCTATTCAAAAAATATTGAAATGACACACACGCAATAGTGTTTTGCTGTGAGTACAGAAATGGTAAGGTTTTAATTTTTTCCCTGTCCTCCCCCACAAAATGTTCTATATTGAGCTTACAATTGTTCTGTAATCAAAAAGTCTATATAAAGCCTCAATTTAAGTGTTGTCAAGCCAAAATTAGTACTCACTGACTAATCATCGTGTCCTCACTCTCTCAGAGGCAGAAGTGGAGCTAAAGAGAGTAAAGTTCAGAGTCCTTGCTCAGAGCTTCCTTGGGAGGTACAGGGGTGGAGGCTGGAGGCTGTCTGACCTGCAGGGCCTAAACAGGGAGCTCAGGTATTAGAGCCAATCTTGACCTAACAGTTACAGTTACTATCATTTTTTAAGCCCTCGTCTCTGGGAAGCTTGCTTTAGATGCTTTGTTCTCGGGGTCACACAATCCCCAGGTGGGTTTGATCCTTGAAATATTATTGGTGTTACTAAAGTAAAAACTCGAGTTGAATGAGACACTGGGCAAACAACCTCGCTTCTTTCGGTTTTTCTCCGGTACCGGGAACCGAACTCACGACCTTGCGCTTGCCAGGCAGGCGCTTTGCCGCTGAGCTAAATCCCCAGCCCCAACCTCGCTTCTTTCTTACTGCAGTTTCCTCCTAGGTGAAATTCATGCCAGGAAGACTAAACAAGATAACCGACTGTCCTTTGGATATGCCAGGCCCTATCCTAGTGCTTTCTGCGTATCTCATGTTATTCTCTCAAGAATCCTAATGAAGAATTACTATAAATGTCCCCATTTTACCACAGTGAAAATGGGCTCAGAGAAGTGATGTAGCATCTCAGGACCCCTGGCTGTCTGTGTTGTGACAGAGAATCAAACTGAGGTCTGTCTGACCCCAACACTGTGGAAACAGCCCTTTCAGCCTCCTGGGTCCTTTTTGGAACAAGGCATGGAATAGATTAGCAGAAGCATGGAGTGAAGGAAAGAAGAAAAGTTGATAGGGTAGTTGATAACCTGTGTAAGGTAGGTAGGATTTATAAGCTCCTCCAGGGCAGAAACTATACAGAGAAAAATAAATCTCACATACCACCAGGACTCAACCTAATAGATATTCCATAAATATTTGCTGAACAAATGAAAAATGGCTGGGTGAATATAATTTACACAAGATACTAACTTTCAAAGCAAATTGGCTGTTGCCTTCTACTCCCCCCCACAAGGGATTACCTCCAAAGTTTGAGTCTCTACTGCCCTTCCATTAGCATACGTCAGTGACTTTACTCCAGACCCATGGTTTCACTTGC